CGCACGTATCGAAGTCCAACGATACTTTTAAGATTAGATAAACAACGAGGAAGGACGCGCCTCCTTACCTCTTTCACCTCTCGTCGCTCTATATTCGGAACTACACAGGGGATTTCAATTTTGTCTGTGTCCCCACACTCAATTTTCCAAAAAAAACTGGCACACCCCATTTTGTCTCTTTCTGGAGCCTTTTCTCGCTTTAGTAACTCCGACATAAGGAAAGTAGAGTAAGGAGTGAGGTTAAACGTCATACACTACACGGGGTGGCTCCGTGGAAACATCCAGCTCCGCACTCGCCTAGAGTTGCACACATGATGGTCTAGAATTGACTTAAGTAATAACACTGCCCAGGGTGGCTTCGTGAAAACATTCGGTTTCGGACAAGCCTGGAATAATACACGTACAAACCATGATACAACCCCAATAGGCACCCAGAATGGTCAAGAGTTCGCTTAGGTAAGATACTGCTTAGGGTGGCTTCATGGAAACATTTGTTTCCGGACAAGTCTGGAGTGACACACAGGCTGGTCTAGAGTTGGCTTAGGTAAGACACTCCCTAGATAGCTCAATGAAAATATTCGGTTCTGAACGAGCATGGAATGATAACTATAAATACCAACTATAATACGACATAATTGAATGAACAAGGAAGGTGGGCCAAAGGTTTTTCCTAACAGGAATCGACCCTGCAGCGAAATGGTGCGGGTTACGTGACTGATAACCTTGCCCCATCAATATCAATCAGACAACAAGAGACGGTTAACGGGGGCCCAAATATTCGCCGTTTTCGTTGGCAATTGCGGTGCGAATTTCCTCAAAAATTTTAAAAGCAAACGATATGAGACGATAGTGCAAACATCAAAAAAGGAAACAAGCCAAAAAAACGAAAATAAAAATAAAAAAACACTGTGAAACCCGAACACAACGACACTTTCCGTGTCAAAATGAAGCGTCCAACGAATTCAACAAAATGCCAGTTTTTCATTCTTGATCCAAACATGTCAAAACTGCACACATGACGTACCCTAAAGCACATATATATCACACAAAAAGAAAAACAAGAAAAAAAGCAAAAAATCAGCACAATGTGACAGTTTCAGTGCAAATCGGTGCAAAATTCGTCAAAAATAACACCCTTGGTTAACCACGTATGCCAGACAACTGGAATAACACGAAAAACCTTAATACAACAATGGTAGGCTACGCTAGAAACATGTCGTCTGGGTGGGGTTAGGGGCTGTCTGACCAACCCGGGTTGCTACTCATAGGAAAAAATAAGAGTGTATGAGACGATTATGCTTGGCAACCGAAGTACGCGTGCGCCAGGGCTCGTTCGATAGTGTTTCAACTACGGTTGAGAAAAGTAGTGTTGGCCTACCGTTAGTGCTTACAATTAGTCTCTGGTATATCCGAGGTAGGGCTAACAAGTACCCCTATTGATGGGGGAGCAGGGGTTACACTAAGGAAGCAGAAAGATGATTATGTAATGTGGGGGGTGGGTCATGTGACCTTCCCACCCCCCCTGAAAAAAAATGGCAATACCGAATAAAAATCTCCAAAGATGGAGGTGTCAAAACATGCTCGCCCACTTAGTATTTTGTTTTTTTTTTTTACTTTTTACTTTTTTTTTAAACTTTATTTTAGGGCCTAAACAATTCTATTAGTTTTTGAATTTTTTTTCACGAGTTTTGTATTACGTGAAGTACACATCTGTGAATTTTCAGGGTATTTCATTAGGCCAAAAATAAAATAAAAATTGTCAATGATGACGGTGTCAAAAATAGTTTTTACACTCACTAATTTTAATCCTCTAATTTCCTAGGCTACCAGCCGTGCCGCCCGGGTCCCGAGTGGTCAGCCCGTGCAAGGACCAAGGAAGGTCCTATAAAAAAAAATTAATAATAATAAAAAAACAAAATCCGAAAAATATCTATGTTATGTAAAAAATTAAATTGAACAACTTTTATCCCAGGGTCACATCAAAATTTTTCACCAAATTTAGAATAAAAATTAAAATGTAAAAATATTATTTTTATTTTTATTTACTTTTATTTTTTTGGCCTGGCCGAGCAAGTGACCCCAGGCCACTCTGGTAGCCTAGCTAATTTCTGTTTTTATTTTTTTCTCAATTTTTTTATTTGTATTTATTTTTCGTATTTAATTTTTATTTCAAATGTGATAAGGAATTTGGATGTAATGCTTACGTCGGGCCCGCTTCCGGGGTTTGATATTAATAAAGATTGATCTTCTAAGAAAAAAAATAAAAGAAATTGTTATTTATTGTAATTTTATGCATAACAATTTTTTTTCATATTTTTTAAATTTAGTTTTTTTTTTTTTTTTTTTCCTGTGTTTGGCTCGTCTCGAACGTCGTTTACCCTATATATATATATATATATATATATATATATATATATATATATATATATATATATAGGGTCACCAGCCTGTACGTACGGAGGTCCCCGGGAAGGGTCCCGTACGTGGTCCGAACCCAACGGCGTTTGGCCCCCGCCAAAAATTATTTCGGGGCCTAAAAATAATTATTTTTTTCGAAACGTTTTTTTTGTGAGTTCCCTATGATGTGAGGTACATGCCTGTAAATTTTCAAGTCATTTGACTAAGCCAATAAGAATTAAAAATCGCCAAAGATAGTGGTGTCAAAACGTGCTCGCCCATAAAGTTTTTCACTTTTTACTTTTTGTTTTCACTTTGGTTTTTCACTTTTTACTTTTTGTTTTCACTTTAGTTCGGGGTCTAAATAATTTTATTATTTTTTTAAACTTTTTTAGTGAGTTTTGTATTATGTGAAGTACACATCTGTACATTTTCAGGGCATTTAGCTATGCAAAAGAAAAAGTGAAAAATCGCCAAAGATGGCGGTGTCGAAAACATGCTCGCGCACTCACTAAATTTAATACTCTTTTTATTTTTAATTAATTTTTATTATTAGTATTTGTTTTTCGTATTTTATTTTTATTTCAAATTTGGTAAGGAATTCTGATGTAATGCTCAGGC